ATGGGTCATTATATCAAAATCATATCCAAAATTCCACCTATGCGTTATATATCAGTACGTATTTAGCACTTTTGGATAATTTTAGTCACTGTTGGTTAGTATTCATCCTTTCTGGACCTTTTTTAATATTTGGCATTGTATATTTTTTTTTATCTAATCATGATTTCCTTTCTAAAGTCGGAAAAGGGCATTGCGTCAATGTTTTTTTCAAATTTTAAATGAATTTTAATGCATGTCAGAATAAACAATGAATTTACAAAAGTTTTTACAATTTAGCAGTTTCCTCTCATGAAAACATTTGTATCATAAACAAATAGATTCATCAAATGTTCTACAAAATATTCAAGACTGAGAGGCAACAAGGAGGGAAAATATGGTAAATCAATCATAATTATTTGAGAATAAAAAGAAGAAATAGTATTACGTCCCACAAACCACCAGGTTTCAAATGATAGAACCAACAGACATTCGGTACAATTACTACCAGTCCCTTTCCCTTTGTGTCAAAAAATATATTGACCATCTATATCTTGGATATCAAAACAAGGGAAGGTCCATTTACTTTTCCGTACATCTGCTCAGCTATCACGATTTCAATACAATACTAATATGAAAAGACAAAGCCTTAAAAGAGCGTAGCTTTTGTTGGTCTCTGATATTTACTGATTCAGAATATTGCTTTCAGAATGCGATAGGATCAACTTTATTTAAAGACAACAAGTAGAGGAATAACAATAAAACACAGGCTCTAATGAGATTAACGACATAACAATAGGAGAGACCGGGGCAAGTTCGGCCCTTAGTGGGTTTTTTTTTATTCCAGTCCGTTCTAGGAAGTATGGCAGCACGTCCGTTTTTGAACATCAGTTCCAGAATTTTCCGGTTATATTTCATCCTTCCGGAAATAACCGATGAAGGTCGATGAATTGTGACGTGTTGTGACGTCATAGTATGATAATCTCCGAACGAAGTTTCATGCCTGTTAGTATCAGATTTTATGTGATAGACTTTTTGATTCAGATTGTATATAAGTTTTTATCTCAATAAACAAGTAATAAAACATGAAGATTGTTTTCACTATATGAAGATGTTCATGTATGGGTTGAAACACAGATGTCTTTGCTTCAAGGATACACTTCCTGTTTCCCGACTTGACGTCTACTTCCGGACGAAAAAAATAAAGGCATGGTGCATGTGTAGAATGTGGCACATTGCACCTCTGTAATTTTAATTCAGCTTTTTTTAGCACTGTTTATGCACAGTTTCGTATTTTTTTCATGGCATGCAGTATTTACTTAATATGTTTTACGGCACGGCCGTTAGTGAGGGCGGAGCCAGGTTGTATCTGAATATCGGTACTGTACTCTTTGAAGCATTGAGTGATGTGTTAAATTACTAAATCAGACCTACATGTATAGCTATACAGTGTTTATTATAGTTAAATTTCCTTTCTTGATTGCACACGAAATTACCTTGCTACCTTTCCAGGTTGTTCTTGTTGTTATAACATGTGTATAAGTAGTTGATATTTGCTCCATATTCTAGAAACTGACAAAAAGATAGGATATGCTTCTATTTAGCTGAATTCATGATGAAATAGATATATATAATTTTGTCTAAAATTTACACAAAATAACACAAGAATGTTTTTTAACCAAGATTGGTGAAAAATTGTCTTTAGGTTCTTGAGAAGTCAAACATGTTAAAAGTTTACTAACACAAAAATAAAGAAATGGATGACAAACTTTGATCAGGAATTTCCCTGGTTCAGATGTCACCCACCGCACTTATATATATACAAAATGGAATTTGCCACATGTATTTTCTTAGGTAGTTACAAATTAATTTCGCTTGAAGTCCCAAGAGTCATTTTCATTGAAATTGGAGTCAGTATCATTTATTGCTTCTTCAAATTGAATTGCTTGTTTTACTTCTATGTCACTAGCGACTAGCATTCCATCATACACATCTTTGTATGATGTCTTCATTATATTTTTTGATGTATTGTTTTACTACCACGTTTAAATTTTCTTTGTGGAACATAACAAAAGGTCGCGATCCCATCTCACAGGTGTGGCAATAGCAAGTAATGCAGAGTTAATAGTTTTCAAATCTTCCTCTTTAGTGTTTTGCTGTAGTTGTCTTTCCTCTTCTGAATACATTAAATACTGCAGTTTTCGTTTCAATGTATTGAAATCACGAAATATTTCAAGAGAAACAGTTGGAATACATGTGAATTTCACAAAAACATTTTCAAGTGACTAAAAATAAATTGAAATATTTCTCAATTCAGAATGATAGACTGCACATTTACTGTAGATCTAACATACTCTATCTCAGTTCCATCGGAATGAGAATATTTGTTTCAGCAACTTACTGACTATATGTATAGTTTTAGCAATAGAGAAAATGTATAGTTACCACAATTAAAAATTGAATCAGTTCAGCACATAAAAATGTATAGATTTTTTTTTCAAATTGTGCAGATTTTCTTTTATGAATAAAAAATTAGCTCTGAGATAGTAATCAAAAATGAAATTGTTATGGATTCAATTTTTTTCTTCTATTTTTTTCGTGCAAAATATCAAATAAAACATTCTTATGAAAATACTTGTATGACTTTTTATCGTATCATTTTGCGTCACTGTGATAAACTCCCTTTTTGTTGACAACCAGCACGTTGTTTTGTTAATATTCCGTTTTCTAAATATATACCACTGCAATCTCTACCCAGTTGTCGTAGGAAGTGCAAGGACCGTAACTCTGCGTGATAGTCTCGTTCAACCAAACTCTTGTTGTCTGCGCAAGCGTCTGATTGAACGAGACTACACTGCCGATACAATATTTTTTCGACCATTTAGAACTAGAGCAATGTAGAACCAAACTCTTGTTGTCTGCGCAAGCGTCTTTTAACCGGAAAGTATTAAATATTTAAGTATCCTATAGTTAGATATAAGTTTTAAATCTTACAAAAATGTAACGTTTGTTCGAGATTCGGCAAACGAGAACTTGTTTCGAGATCAAGATGCCGGAGACTACAGCGCGTGCGACTGGCGGCCATGTTAAGACAAGTTTTTCAGTTCCATAGGTATTGTGAATAATCTGTATTTTTCTTACATACGTGTTACCTATAGGGAGAGCTTCGCTCTCACGGGCCCTTCAGGACCTTCAGGCCCGTGAGAGAGCTCCGCCCTCTATTAACATCGTAAAGCTATGACATCTGTATAAAATCCCGAAAACATGTACTGTGTTTACTTTTAAAGCAGATATCAAGATAGATATCGTTTCGAATGTATTGTGCTGTGAAAGTACATGATACACAGGGAACGGGGTACAAGGTATACAAACAGATCTATAAATAGAGTTTTTTAAAACGTTTTTCGAACGACCATAACTTCGAAAGCTTTCGGTGTACTGCTTGACTGTTTCATACTTCTGGTAGATCTTGGTCGGGCTTACTTTTTTCCATGATATGTTGTCAGAGAATATGTCAAATTCAAAGCCCGCTGACCTCCAAGCACCAGTCACTATGACCCCTGAACTACTTCCTATCATCAGTCGCTATAACCGCTGACCTCCAAGCACCAGTCACTATGTCCACTGAACTACTTCCTATCATCGATCACTATAACCGCTGACCTCCAAGCACCAGTCACTATGTCCCCTGAACTACTTCCTATCATCAGTCGCTATAACCGATGTCATCAGTCGCTATAACCGCTGACCTCCATGCCCCAGTCACTATGACCCCTGAAATACTTCCTATCATCAGTCGCTATAACCGCTGTCATCAGTCGCTATAAGCGCTGACCTCCATGCACCTGTCACTATGACCCCTGAACTACTTCCTATCATCAGTCGCTATAACCCCTGACATCCTATCAAACTAAGAAGCGCGGCTACCTCTTATCACTGGCATTCCAAATAGATGACACTGACCATACTGGACGTTTGCTTCAGGTCATGTCAGGTGATATATATTTTTTCAGTATCGTCTTAATTTTCAGGTAATCAAACAAACTTACTTTACTAAATTGTCCCTTAAAGTTTTTGTTGATTACCTATTGGGAGGTATACCGGTCTAAAATCATGTATTGTGAAACTTATTTTTAAAGCAGATATGTGTATTAAAATGCATATCGTGTCGAATGTATGGTACTGTGACAGTACAGGGTAAAGGTACGGGGTACAGAGTACGGGGTACAGGGTACAGAGTACGGGGTACAAGGTACAGAGTACGGGGTACAGGGTACAGAGTAAAGCGTTGACTGAAACAATTCATTGAATCGTTCAAGACTTTGTTGTGTATTGTAGCAAATCATTTTGTTTGTCTGCATATGGAAATACCCTAACAATTCGGGTATTATCAATCAATTCGATTTGTGAGTTCACTTATTCTTTTTTTATACACCAGACATAATGTTATCCACTGTGCAGTGATACAAAATACTTACAACAGCTCGAACAAAGATATATTTGAACTGTAATTACTATTGACCTCGTAATGTTATTACATCTCTGTAAAATATCTGAACACGTGTATTGTGAAACTTACTTTTAAAACAGATATGTGTATCGAGATACACATCGTATTGATTGTATTGTGCTGTGAAAGTACAGGGAACGGGATACGGGGTACATGGTACAGTGTACGGGGTACAGGGTACATGGTACAGGGTACGGGTACAGGGTACTAGAATCAGGTACATCTTATTTACATATGCGTTATAATTGCAATAAATTCTTTAAAAAAAGTTCATGTAACCCTTATCTGTTCGTTAATGTTTTGTGAGGTCAGTAATTCGAAAATAGCTGCACATTATTCAATACACTTTGTTATTGTATCATTACTAGGCGGTAAGTCGAGAACAATTGAATTGCCAATGTCAAGGTCGTACAAAACTACTCAAGTTGATCTTAAGGTCAAACGTTAAGTTTATATGTTTCTGAATGAAACTTTTTGTGATGATTTAATGACCTTTTATTTCATTTCTTTACAGAATCGATGCTGATCATTTACAACTATAGCTTAGTATTATAGTCGGTGAAACTAGGCTAGGACAAACGGTTGTATATCAGAAGGACAGAGACTGGGAGGCCTACTTTACATGTGTATTAATATACATAAGGAATAACGATAAATATTTGATGTCATACCTCAGAAATCACCAGGTGAAATGGAAGAAAATCTAATTTCTTTCTATAAAGGACAAATACCGGTTCGTGGTCCGGGTCAAACAAAATGTGTATACCACAAAGCCCTGCCTCTATGCTGGTATTGTGAGACATGTTGTGATGTCATATGTCTCAGATGTGCAAAGAATTCACATAAAGATCATGACATTACTGAACTTAGCAAAATTACTCCCGACAACAAACGTAAGATACACATGTTTATAGAAGAAACGGAGCAAAAAAAGCTTATTGAAATTGAACACGAAATGATTTCTACACAGGACAGTCTGGATAAACACTTGAACCAGTGTGAGGATTTGGATGATGAAAATACTAAACTCCTCAACGGTTACAAGACTGAACTCGGGGAAAAGCTTGCAGACCTAAAGGAGCATCTAAAGCAATGTAAGGAAACTGTTCAGACAGGCACAGATATCCAGGTGTTTGACCTTACAAAACGACTCCACATCAATAGCACCTTACCTGAAAAACCATTTCTAGGTTCTGTCGACTTCAGTCCAAACTTTAACAGGAAAGAAATCCAGGAGGAGGCATTTGGAAAAGTAACTCTAAACCCATCTGGACATTCTCAAAGTCCGCCATCTACCAGCCCTGACCAATCAAATGGAACATTAGCTCAACACAGTCAAGACAACAGAAGGAATGATATCCAGGAGGAGACATTTGGAAAAGCAGCCAGAATATCATCTGGAAAGTCTCAAAGACAGACATCTACCAGCCCTGGCCAATCAGATAAAACATCAGTCCAAGAGAACCCATTATCTTCTGAGCTACAATGTTCAGAGAAAGGGAGCACAGACACATGTCAAGACCCAGAGAAGGTCCTTCTTCCTCAGATTAAGATTATATCAGAATGGAAATCTCCTTGTACCATTAATGCTATCTGTCCAAGTGGTGGTGATGGAATGTGGACAAGTGACTGTTTAACTACTAAACTGAAACGCCTTACTTGTCAGGGAGATATACAAGATCAAATACGGAGTCGTTTCCACATAAGCGATAACTCTGTATCCCCCACTACTCGCAATCTCTGGACATGTTCTGAAAGCGTCGAGGAGCTCATATCAGGTAAACTGACTGAGAGATTCAAAACAAATGATGAACCTCGATGTCTTTGTGTTACTAGTGATGAGCATATCCTTGTTGGAACAAAACACAGAATTTCCGAGTACACTCCGGACGGGAAGCCCGGTATCACCACCGAAATATCATTGTTCAAGAAAGCGGTGGTGTGTTCACCATGGAGGATATCACAGTGTCCCCTCAGCGACAATGTCGCTGTAGTTGATAGAGATGAGGAAAAAGATGGCGGTAAGGACAAACCAGCAGTCATAGTGTTGGACAGACAACTACAGCACTTATATAGGTATGGAGAATCACAACACAACAGCATGACTAACTGTCAATGTTTTGACCCCTGGGATTTGACGTACGACAGTCAAAGATTCCTGGTGGTTGCTGACTATAAAAACAAACACCTACATCTCCTGAGTGGTGATGGACAATACCTGCGACTGCTACATACTGATATAGACAATCCCCGAGCTGTATGTGTGGACACGGAGGGAGTGCTGTGGGCGGTGTTTGGTCTTGTATTCATGACTTATCAAAAGGTGAAACGACTGCAGTACACAGGATTTTAAATCTAACTCTACGTGTCATCACCATCATGTGTAGTACAAATCAAACATTACCAAGAGATGTGACAAAAACACATGTGTTGTACAAACAGAAGGTTACAACGACAACACGGTCTGTTGGGATTTGGACAGGTGAACCAGGAGATGGCTCACCAAACTTCTTAGTACTATACCTATACCCATCAGTTACATGTCAGATTGTGTAGTGTATAATTTACACCCATATGTTACATTTCGGATATTGTAATGTACCATCTTCGTCTACTTGTTATAGGACGAATTGTGTTATGTATAATTTACACCCATTTGTCACATATTGGATTGTGTAGTGAGAAATCCACACCCATTTGTTGCATGTCAGATTATTTAATATAAAATCCACACCCATATGTTACATGTCAGATTGAGTTTTGTATAATCCACACCATTTTATTGGATTGTGAAGCTATTTACTGTGTTTGAGGAAACACGTTTTATGATGAACCCAAAGGAAGGAAGAATATTGATTAACAGTCTGATCTTAGAGAACAATATAGCTAACCGCAAAAAATATATTAGATATAGTTTACAATAATCACATTGATTGAAGTCCAACATAGTCGAAAAAATCACTTTCAAAAAAGCGTCATAATTTGAATGAAAACAAAACAATACCAGAATTGAATATAATTTTGGTGGTCAATATTTAACACGTAGTTTAATATGTCGTTAAACGTTTTTTGATAACATCATATTAGTTTGTGTTTCATCTTGTAAAAGCATATTGCAGAAGTAACGAAATTGTGTCATGCCACTATTCAGTGTTAGGTTCATAATCCACATATTATTATATCGGAGAATACAGTGACGGTTTAACCTGTTATTCTGAAGGGATAGTAAATGTATTTTGTCACAGGGTTGGTTATTGGTATATTGTGTCTATATATTATGTTCGTGGCGCCAGGTATAAGTGCGTGTACCAAGGTGTGCAGTCTCGTGCGTTGTAATGCGTTTTGTAACTGTATTGTGGATGTAGGATGCAAGACGATTGGTTGAAAGTGTATTCTATTCAGTCTTAACGTATAAAAACCCTTGCAACAAGTATTCTGTCGATATAATATAGACCTTTGTAATTGGAATTTGTAAGTGTACGTTTTATACAATGATAGATTTATAACTGCATATATACAAATATTATTACGGCAAAAGTTAGAAAGTGTGGGAAAGAGATTTAAACGTATTGCAATTGTTTTGCCAAGTATCAACAATAAACGAAAGAAAATAAATCGTAATGTCTTCCTAATTTTGTGCGGAAAGAGGAACTCGAGAAAATGTATTTCATTCCTACCAGTGAAATATCAAGTTTTATCCATTTAATAAAATCTTATATCTTCACCGTGTGTTAATAAATCACTTTTTTTGCATTGTCTAGTCAGATCGGAACTTTTCTTTTTACTGGGTAGATTTTTAGTTTTAAGTTCAGATGAAGCAACGGCAGATCGAGTGGTTGTTTTGGTACACCTTTGCAATATACAAATGTACAGTATGGCGCTCTACTTTTTTTGTCGAGCGTGACGTCAAATCAAATCAAACGCTACACTCCTAATGACCGCGTTTTTTGTGCCATGTTACTTTAAAAAATGTAAGAATACAACGTCGTGTAAGGATATGTTCTTTACTGTCATAATATCGACATCAGAACAAATTATAGGATAGTAGTCATATATAAACATTGAGAATACTTCTTAAAAACAGTAGAGTTAAAACAATCTGAACGTACGATTTCAACAATGAAACTCGTAGATAACTCGACCTCGACCTCTACAATGAAACTCGTAGTCTTTCACAATCTGCATCTGTGAGTTGTTAGTTTCCCGTCAGCAGTTGACATAAATCAAGGAAATCCTGATATTTAGCCAAGCTATTAAATACCGAATCAACCGCGGCACCGTAATACATGGTTGGTAGGAAAAACAGAGATTTTACTATCATACTATCAAGAAAGGGAATGTTCACGATTGGAAAATGATTATCGTCCCTCCTATCATATAGCTTAGAAGTAAGCCGTCCCTGCTAGTCATGGTGTTTGTAAAAGGTAGAGGCAAGTGGCTAAGGGAGAGTCTGTACTGCTGTTGTTTTGACATTCGTGAGAGCTCAAAAATGGCCTGACATTTGGTCTACGACCACGAGTGCATGCTTAGTGTAAACGATTTTTTGTAGGTTTGGGATGAAGCTCACACCCTTTAGTGATTTCTTAAGTTGGTATTGAGCTATACAACAGAGGGAAATCAGCATATTTTAGGCTGCAGAAAATTATTTCTTTCCAAACATGCTGTCGCACCTTTGAACCTACCACTTCTTCACCTCTGACAGACAGAACCAATTGCCTGATAGCGTTGACATAAACGTTAAATTAGTCTTTGGCAAACTTTCTGTTTTGGACCACATTTCATTGATTCATAATAGGTTGAAGCATTCCTATGGCACCATCGGCGTGCAGTACACTCCAGTATTGCCTTTTAGGTATTGTGTTAATATTCTTAATTTACTGACAATATTCAATAACTGTCAAATTTGTGAAATTTCACGTCAGTTTCCAAAATTTGTTTATGACCTTCTTAATGCCCGGAACGCTACTTTCTTGTTGTGTCCTTTTGCACTATCGCACATCATGGTGAAACGAGTAGTTGTCATAAGTGATAACATATATCAATCAAGGTGATATTAATTTGTTTACAGTCTTTTTACTGCTTTGCATTACTGTTTGAGGCGACTAATAGTCAATTACTGAATAATAACATACCTTTCGGTTATCTTAATCCTAAATACCAGACTAAACAAATTTAACGCAAATAAAAAAACAACAAGAGAATAGTGAGTGTCAACAAAACCGTAAATTTAACTGAAAAACGATGAAACTAGGACCAAATATGAACAAAGAGAGGGAAAAGTACAAGGAGAATAAGCCAAGGTGTTACGGAAGGGTTAGCGTCTTCCTCTTCATTAATGACACCCGCCATGTAAATCTTATCCGAGTCACACAAGAAATAACTTTTTTTTCGAGATCCTGATGGCGTTAATAGATCCTGATGGCGTTAATACTTGGCATACTCTTCATTAACCTGCAATTTTGGAAACCCTGTCTTGTATATCCAAATAATGTTCTATTCATTTCACTTTGTAGGTACTTTAAGACAAATAATTCACCTTGGTTTGCTGGTTGAATATAAAGTAAAATATTTTACTATTTACCACGGTTTGTAGGTTTTATATAAAACAGAAATGACCAACACTTAACCTATGTTCGTAGAAACTGCATAACAATAGATAAAGATGTGTTATATAACTATAAGATAATGAAGTGTCCATGAATAGCGCGTCTGTTATTGACAAACTACTTGATCTAAAATTCTCACAATCATGATATCCTTACATAATTGGTTCGAACGTCATTTCGTTCAAGTCACGAGCGTTCGTCCATATCATTCCTTCTATCTAAGTTGACTTCAAGGTGACAGGTCATTTTGTTTTTACGTGTTTCGAAATTGACCACACGATGTTTTGGGTGTCTATATTTTGTGCCTTACTAGGTATGTCTGTCGCTTTCCCGGGATACACACAGTATATTCCTAACGGCCATACAGTCCCCAGCCAGTGTGTCGGTGCAAAACACATATGGAAGGGTGTAGGGCACGACATCGCGCGTGGAGGGGGGCCAAGGAATCTGTTTGGATTGGTAAGTTATAAAGGTTGATCAAATGGTGAATAGAATTTTTTGTGAAATTGCAAAATGGTAGTAAAACGTTAGAAAGTTTTTTTTAGTGAAGACCTCTTGCGCTACCATCCAGGCCAAGAAGAGTTATCAATAGATATGAACAAAAGTGTTTCATTGTCGTTATGATTATTATAATTCCATGTATATATTTAGAAAACAAGCAGGTACTACAGTAGACGGTAGACATTGTAGTACTTGAATGTTTTAAAAAGATTTTCTATTAGAATGTCAAATCGATATTGTAGTGGAATGTTGAATATGTACTGCAGCGGAAAGTTAATCTTTGAATTATTCTGATTTTTCTCATAAACATTCAATCTTTTGAAAATTAAAATTTTCACTTCACATTTCATTGACAAAGTTATGTCTAGTGTTTCAAATACTCTCTAATTCCAAGGACTTTGCATCCTCTGCGCATGTCTGGACCCGGGACTTGTGTATGGCTGACTCAGACTTAGACGGTGTGTCGAACGGAGTAGAACTAGGGGACCCGACCTGCTCGTGGGCAATCGGTGAAACACCCGAGGGCCAAGCCACCGGTCATCCAGGTAAGCATGAAAACGGTGTCTAATAAAATTTAGTTTGGCTACAAAAGTGCTTAAATGTTAGAATATCAGTTAGCAAGCATACACACATATTAGCCAGGTGACATAGGACTAGTAGTTAGCGCCTGATAAGGCAGCTCCTGCGAATTCCTCACAACTTGTATTGGTAACAGATGCAGATTGTATTAATTATATATCTATGTACTGTAAAGCGCTTTAGAGTGGCTTATGTTAGCACGATAGGGCGCTATATCAAATGCTGTATATATATTTTTTTATTGTATCATAATATCGAAGTTTACTTTGGATCCTTAAGTATGACTGATCATTGGATGGAAATGTCACGGTAATCATTCCATCATTTAGGGGGCTTCTGGAACCATAACAGTGAAAATGCTCCCCTGCCTCCACTCGAAATTAAAATGTATTCAATTAAAACATAATAAAAATAATCAACGTTAACATGAACAGTAACATTATCGTAAAATATTCAATTATAATATGTCCGTAATCCTTAGATTGCCATCAAAATTGTGGCTATAATTCAGCAAGAACCATTACATGTGAATGATTTCCAAAAGTAAACTGTTCAGGGTTTTCCGTCAGACTGTTTGAGCAATCGGTGCCAATCATGACGTGACGTCAAATTCAAATTATGACGGAATATCCGGTTTCCGATTGACGTTCACCGCCTGATAGAAATTGAAACTAACGATAGCACGATCTTGTTCCTACAAAAAATGGCTGTTCTGCCATTTTGTAAAACAGTTTGTTTCAAATATATTTGAAGCGAATGAAACCACAGATAATGTTAAAATAATATTGTCTTTCTTATTTTGATTGTAAATATAAGTATTAAAAAAACCTCTAATTATGGTTGGCATCACAGGTGTAATATATAATGCTGTAGATAACTTTGAGGGAGACAACTGTAAACGCACATCACAGGTATAATGTATAATGCTGTAAAAATCCTTAAAGGTAAAAACACTAACACACATCACAGGTATAATATATAATGCTGTAAATACCCTTAAGGGAGAAAACTTTATGACACATCACAGGTATAATGTATAATGTTGTAAATATCCTTAAAGGAAAAAACACTAACACACATCACAGGTATAATATAGGATGATGTAAATACCCTTAAGGGAGAAAACTCTAACACACACCACAGGTATAATGTATAATGCTGTAAATACCCTTAAGGGAGAAAACTCTAACATAAATCACAGGTATAATGCATAATGCTGTAAATATCCTTAAAGGAAAAAACTCCAACACACATCACAGGTATAATGTATAATGCTGTAAATATCCTTAAAGGAAAAACTCCAACACACATCACAGGTATAATGTATAATGCTGTAAATCTCCTTTAAGGAAAAAACACTAACACACATCACAGGTATAATGTATAATGCTGTAAATATCCTTTAAGGAAAAAACACTAACACACATCACAGGTATAATATATGATGCTGTAAATACCCTTAAGGGAGAAATTCTAACACACATCACAGGTATAATGTATAATGCTTTAAATACCCTTAAGGGAGAAAACTCTAACACACATCACCTTTAAACTTAAGGATTATATTGCACTTGTTGGTAGATTACTATGTTTTTTACCATTTCACTCGTGCTACGCACTCATGAAAAATATGCATTGATCATTTTCTTTTATTCATTTGATTTGCATGCTTACAAAACCACAAAGGAAAATATTGCACTCGTGAACGGCTAACGAGATACTAAGTTCCAAATAGAAGCGACGATTAAGAAGCCATCACATGCGAGGTGTCAGCAACTTTGATCCAAAGTTGATATTTGCTGGCCCAATAAGATCATATACTTGCTAACCTTTTGAACGGATGCGATGTACGCATAAAGGGAAATCGGCACACGCTGGATTTACTTACGACATTTGTTTGAAAACTTGTTTTTAGATTAAAATTGTCCTAATCTTTTGTTCTTTAATCAACGTTAACACTAGCTAGTTCCAAAATTCATTGACAGTACATTAACAGATATGT